GCAGTTTGGCGTGATGTCTGCTGCTGTCGTCTCGGGGACTTCTGGGGGCTCTGAGGGGACTCCTGAAGAGGACCGGGGAGAGCCCAGTAGAGCTCCCAGAGGGCTCCAAGACGGCCCTAAGACGGGCCCCAGAGAGGAACAGTGAAGTCATGACCAAACTCCGGCTGACGGAGTTTGGCGTGATGCCTGCCGCTGCGGTCTTGGGGACCTCTGGGAGCTCTCTTGGGGCTCCCCAACACGACCAGGGAGCGCCGAGTAGAGCTCCAAAACGCCTCCAAGAGAGCTTGAAGACGGGCCCCAGGGGGGGAGAAGTGAGGTGTTCGTCAAACTCTGTCTGACGGAGTTTGGCGTGATGTCCGCCGCTGCCGTCTTGGGGACCTGTGGGGGCTCTCTTGGGGCTCCCCAAGACGTCCAGGGAGGGCCCGGTAGGGCTCCAAGAATGCTCCCACAGAGGCCGAAGACGGTCCTAAAACGAGCCCCAGAGAGAGGCAATGAGGTGGTATTTGATGGTCTCGTCGACGCACTCGCTCTCAAAGGGCCGGGTGGTACCGGAAGCCCTTGTAGGAGAAATTGTGAGAGTGTTGTGCGTGTAGAAGAGCACATTTGTGATGGTGTCGTCGACGCACGTACTCGCAAGGGGCGCTGTCTGGCAGGCTGTCTGGTAGGGTAGCCTACTATATGGCCAAAGTGGCCTATTCCTAAGGTATCTCATCGACTCCTGGTGGAAAAAATGCCGGGTCTGGGCCGACCTTTCATGGTAAGGAGGGGCGACGCGTCGAGTGTCGCGGAAGGTGGCGTGGGCCTCAAGATGCTGGCCACACGCCGGAAGCCCGACAGGGGCTGTGGCGACGAGGATGGGGCCCACTGCAGGTCCTGCCCATTGAGTGGGCGTAGAACCGTTGCTGCCGTCCCTGTCGACAGACCTGCAGTGGTGGACTCTGTCCCCGGCGACGAGGATAGACGTCGAAGGGAAAACCTGCTTTGTCGTCGATCCTCCCCTACAGGCCGGCCGCCCTGGTCCACGGACCAGGGGGTCTCAGGGCCTCTTCCGTCGTCATTCGCCATCGACGCCGTCGTCCCTACTCCTACACTAGTGCCTGATATATTATATGTATACGTCGTTGTCCTTAGCCACCTGTCGTCAATGATGTTGTACTCGATGGTTCCTGCTGTGGGAATCCTGGGAGGAGGGGAGGTGTTGTTTCGAGACCGGCCGTAAGGCTTCTCCAACCGTCGACGAGGACGACGAAGACGACGACCGGCGACCATGTACACAGTTGACTCTGGCCGAGGTTGTCGTCGTCGTCGTCGTTGGCGTCGTCGTCGTCGTCGTCGTTGTGGGTGTCGTTGTGGTCGTCGGCGAGGCGGCCGGAGTCAAAACTGTGTACATCAATTTGCCCCGGTGGCACAGGGCGAGAGAGGCTGGTGCCGACGACGATGACGACGAGGACGACGAAAACGACGACGACCAGCGACGATTGATGTACAAAGTTTTGACTCCGGCCTTCGTCGTCGTCGTCGTCGTCGACGTCGTCGTCGTCGTCGTCGTCGTCGTCGGCCGCGTCTTCGTCCTCGTCGTCGTCGTGGACGTCGGCGAGGCGGCCGGAGACAAAACTGTGTACATCAATGTGCCCCGCTGGCACAGGGCGAGAGAGGCAGGTGCCGGAGACGACGCCGACGAGGACGACGAAGACGACGACGATCCGCGACGATTGATGTACACAGTTTTGACTCCGGCCGTCGTCGTCGTCGTCGTCGTCGTCGTTGGCATCTTCGTCGTCGTCGTCGTGGGCGTCGGCGAGGCGGCCGGAGTCAAAACTGCGTACATCAATTTGCTCCGCTGGCACAGGGCAAGACAGGCAGGTGCCGACGACGTCGACGACGAGGACGACGAAGACGACGATGACCAGCGACGATTGATGTACACAGTTTTGACTCCGCCTGTCGTCGTCGTCGTTGGCGTTTTCGTCGTCGTCGTGGACGTCGGCGAGGCGGCCGGAGTCAAAACTGTGTACATCAATTTGCCTTGCTGGCACAGGGCGAGAGAGGCAGGTTTGGGGGCCTGTGGGCGTCTTGGGGACCTCTAGGGGCTCACGTGGGTCTCCCCAAGGCAACCAGGGAGGGCCAGGTAGGGCTTCAACAAGGCACCAAGGGCGCCCCAAGACCGGTCCCAGGGGGAGCGGTCGTGGCCAAACTCCGTCTGACGGAGTTTGTCGACGCACGTACTCGCAAGGTGCGCTGTGTGGTAGGCTGTCTGGTAGGGTAGCCTACTGTATGGCCGAAGTGGCTTATTCCTTAGGTATCTCACAGACTCCTGGACAGGGAAAGCGTCCGAAGAAGAAAGCTGTGTAATCGTGGTTGGCCTCTCGGGGGCCTCTGGAAAGCTGTTTTGAAGCGTCTCGGGAGCAGCTTTGGGGCCTCATTTGGGCCTCTTGGGGGCCTCTTGGGGCCTCTAGAGGGCCTCTTGGGCGCTTGTTGAGGCCTCTTGGGGGCTTCTTGGGGCCTTCTGTGGGCCTCTCAGGGCGGAGCGCTGGAATTTTCGGTTCGTGGTCCCTCTCTTGGGCCTCTCTTGGAGCCGTCTTGGGGCTCTTTTGGGCCGTCTTGGGCGCCTCTTGGGCCGTCTTGGGCCTCTCTTGGGCCGTCTTGGGCCCTCTTGGGGGCCTCTTGGGCGGTCTTGGGGCAGTCTTGGAGGCCTCTTGGGCCGTCTTGGAGCGTCGGGAAGCCGAAATGGCGCGAAGGCAAAAACCTGTCAAAAACCTACGTAAAATGAACGATGTTGGCCTTGTGGGGCTCTCTTGGGCGGCTTCTTGGAGGCCTCTTGGGGTGTCTTGGCGGCCTCGTGGGCCATCATGGACCCATCTGGGGCGTCTTTGGCCGGTCTTTCGGCAACTCGAAGCCTTCTTGGACCATCTTGTGGACCATTTTGGGGCCGTCCGTGCCTCCCGGAAGCGCGTCTGCAGAAATGGGGCCGTGTGGTGCCGTCTTCCGCCGTCTTCTGCAGGCGTTCCGCCCGTCGCCAGGGCCATGTCCCGGGGGGTCCCCCCCCCAGACCCCCCCAGGGGGACACTAAACGGGAACCCCTCCGCCAGGTCGGGGAAAAACAGATGGCCCCAAGACGGCCCAAGATGGCCCCAAAACACTCCAAAGAGGCCGTCAAGACGGCCCAAGGGGCCACGAAGACGGCCCAAGAGGACCCCAAGAGGGCTCCAATGCGGCCGCGGGAGGCCCCCAAGACAGCCTCCGAGGGGGCGAAACGGCGCAAAAGCGCCCCAAGACAGCCCAAGACGCCCTCAAGAGGCCCCAAGAGGCCCCCAAGAAGCCTCCAAGAAGCCCCCCAGAAGCCTCCAAAAGGACCCCCCCAAACCCCCCAAAGGCCACACAGCGACTGGAGTGTTTTGTTTTTGTTCCCCCCTCTGGGCGAACTGCGGCGCAGCGCCAGCCAGGTGGAAGTTGGTCAGTGCGGCGCCCATGATTAGAGCCGGCGCTGGAAGGGAAGATGGGGAGGGTGTATGAATAGGAGGGAGGGAGGAAAGGCCCCAAGGAAGCCCCCAAGAGGCCAAAAGAAACTCCCAGGAGGCCTCCAGGAGGCCCCGAAGAGGCTCCCAAGAGGCCCCGCGACGACGTGACTGTATGTGCTCCGGACGTGCACCCCGCGAAGCGAAAGGAATCATGGCGTCGGGGATCTGAGTCATCCCAGGCCTCCAACTTCTCGAGACAGGCGAGGCGGACGCTCTTCGCTGCTTCTGGCACCCGGGGGCCCTCGCCGGGCCCCAGGGCCGTCGAAGAACGGCTCGGAACGAGGAGCCGGCCCTGGGGCAAAGGGCCCAGAACTCTGGGGACCTCGGCGTGGACCCCGTCCGTCAGGAGGGGGCACGCACGCAGAGACAGTGAACCGTCGACTCCCAGGAAAATGTGGGAACATGTGGGAAGTGGGGGGGGGGAGACGAAGTGCCAGAACGTATGCGAGAAGATGGGGGATCCTCGGAGTCGTGTCTTTACTGCTATGTGTGTTCCTGGGCCCCCTTACAATTCTGCGGGACTCCAGGCGTCGGACGTCCGGGCGGGGCACAGTCTCGAGCCATGGCCACGCGAGAGCGGGTGAAGAGCAGGAGCCTCCTCGCCGAGAGGGCCCGAGGTCCCGTGGGGATGCCCCCCCAAAACAGGAACAGCCTTCCACGGTGGGCAGCCCAGAGACGAAGAGAATTCGGGTGCCCCTCCGAGCCCGTGGTTGCTCCTGACTCTCTAGGGGAACGCAGACTGACAGAAGCACACCCACTCGGAGGTCCGCGCGGATTTCTCGGATCGGCGCTGGACCCTCCTCCCTGGCGCGCGGAGCGCTCCAGGGGTGGCGACGGAGGCGCAGCCAGGGGGGTCCAGCGCGGATCCGAGGAATCCGCGCGGACCTCCGAGTTGTTGTTGTTTATGTCATTGTTTGTTTTCCAATTCTCGTGCCCGCTGTACGGGCAAGGATGGGAAGGATGTCCAGCAGCGAATGCTGTGCAGACCCGACAGCGGCCACCGCTAGGCGGGCGAATTCGCTGCATCAAGGTCCGCGGCGACGCCGCAGCGAGTCCTCTTCACAATTGGCAGGGTCTCGGCGGTGCGCCCAGGGAGGAGGAGGAGGACTCGAGGACTCGAGAGCAGAGGGCACCGCAGTCGACTCGGCCGCCGCGGCCCCTGTGCCCGCGCACTCTGCGCGGGCTCCCGCCCGTCACCTGCGGGCCTTCTTGTTGGACTCCAGGAGGAGGAGGAGGAGGAGGAGGAGGAGGAGGAGGAGGAGGAGGAGGAGGAGGAGGAGGAGGAGGGGGAGGGGGGCGGGCCTCCGCAGAAGACTCCGAAGGCCCCTGGCCCTCTGAGGAGCTTCCTGAGCCTTCCCCGAAGCCCCCGCCGCCTTCGGAGAAGGCCTGCCCCCTCTCGCTTCGGCCCGCAGCGCGCCGCCGAGAGCTGCTGTCGGCCTCCGTCCCCCGCCTTCCCCTGCCCCTTTCGATCGCACCGATCTCCTGCCCGGTCAGCGCCCGCACGGCGCGGTCGCCCTGCCTCGCATCGCGGAGCTCCACGAAGGCGTAGCCCTTCGACTTGCCCGTCTCCCGGTCGCAGGCGACGGTGACCTTGGCGACGTCGAGGCCGTTCTTCTCGAAGAGCTCGCGGATGTCCTTCTCCTCGGCCCTGAACGCCAGGCCCCCGAGGAAGAGGTTTCCGCCATCGGGGCCGCCGCTGCCCGCCGTGCTGCTGTTGGCCGCCGGCACGTTGCCGCCGCCTCCGGCGGGCCCCTCGCCCCAGTCGCCGCGAGGGTCTGCCCTGCCGTCGCCGCCCGACCAGCCGTCCGCGCCTCCGGGGCCGTAGCCGCCCTTGCCGCCGTAGCCCCCGCCCCAGCCGCCCTTGCCCCCCCAGGCGGAGTAGCCCTTGGCCATCATCGCCCAGGGCGGCCCCTGGCCCCACGAGGGCCACATGCCCGGCCATCCGCCCCAGCCTCCGCAGCCCCAGGCGTCCTTGCCCTTGCCGTACCAGCCGTACTCCGCACCCTTGCCGCCATAGCTGGAGGGCGCTGCCGGTGGCACGTACAGCTCGGCGACGATGCGGCGCCCGGCGACCTCCATGCCGCGGACAGACTGCATGTTCCTCTCCGTCTGCCCAGGCTCAGCCAGGTCAGCGAAAGCATAGCCCTTGCAACCCCCTGTCTCCGGGTCCACGCACACGGTGATCCGGGCCACCGGGATGTCCGACCGCTTGAAGCAGCCCCTGAGCACATCCTCGGTTACACTGGTCGGGAGGCCTCGCAACAGCAGGGTGTCACCATCAAAAACGCGTCCCAGGTTGGCATTTCTGGCGGGTCTGCCCTTGCCGAAGCGCTCCTCAGCGTGAGGCTGGTCTCTGTAGCTCCTGGTGTTCATCTCCGTGTCGTCGGGCCTGCGCTTTCCGCGGAAGCGGTCCGTCCAGGCGTCGGCGTGCCCACCGAAGCTCGCTTCCGTGGCGTGGTCTCCACGGGCGGGCGGGCCTCTGCGGCCAGCGTAAAAGTCATCGCCCTGCGACCAGGCGCCGGCGTAGCTCCCCTGGGCGTCCTCGCCGTGCGGCCGAGCGCCGGCATAGCTCCCCTGGGGGTCCTCGCCGAAGCTGCCGCGCCTGAAGCCGCCATGGCCCTCGCTGGGTCGCTCGTAGCCGCCACGGGCCTCCTCGTCACGCGCCCCAGGGCCCCCGTACCCGCGTCGGCCCTCGCCGCTCTGCGGCGGAGGGTCCCTGTAGCTGCCGTGGGCCTCGTCGCCCTGGGAGGGGGCGCCCACGGACCGGTCGCCCTCGGACGGCCCGAAGGGGTTGTAGGCCTGGTCGCCCTCCGCCGACGGCCCCACGTAGGCGCCGTAGGCCTGCTCGCCCCGCGGAGCCTCGTGGCCGCCACCCTGGTCGCCCGGCGCGTGGGCGTAGGCGCCGTACGCCTCGCCTCGCGACGGCGCGACGGCGCCCTGGGCCTCGTCGCCCCGCGGCGGGGGAGCACCGAACTCGCCGGTGGCCTCCTGCGGGGCGCGCTGTGCGTCCTGCGAGGGCTGCTGGCCGTCCACGGGCCAGTGTTGGCGCTCAGCACCTGGCCCATCTGCGGCGTCCAGCTGCATGTCCTCGTCGACGTCTGCCTGCTGCGGGAAGGCGGGCTCCGCATGCATCCCCTGGCCTGGTTCGCCAGCCTCCTGCTGGAGCTGGGCGGGCGGCGGTTCCGGCTGCACCTGCATTTCGGCCTGGGCCATCCCCTGCTGCATGTGCTGCTGCATCTGGGCAATCTGCTGCATGTGCTGCTGCATCTGCTGCATCTGGGCCTGCTGGGCCGCCAGCATCTGAGGGTCCACTGCCTGACTGTGCTGGGCCTGCGCGATCTGGGCCTGGGCAGCCTGCATATACTGCGCCTGCATGTACATCTGCTGCATGTACTGCGCCTGCATCTCTGGAGTCATGCCAGCCATGCCGGCCCCTGCCTGGCCTTCCTCCATCGCGCCAAGCCGTGCGGGCCAAGCCCCCCCGCAAGCGGCCGCCGGACAGGCGGCCCCCCGGCCCAGGGCCGGTCGAACCCACAAGGCTATGGATGGGTGGCTGTGTTCTTGTTGTTCGCGTCTCCTCCTTTTCCTCCTCCTCCTCCTCCTCCTCCTCCTCCTCCTCCTTCTCGCCTCACGGGGCCGTAAATTCTTACTGGCGGATGGCGTGCTTCTGCCGGGCAAGACGTTCGCACCGACGCGTGGAACGGCCAGCCGCGGACGATTCTCTGCCTCGCGGCCAGGAGCAGGCACTGCGCATTGCAGGAGTGACTTGCTGGACAAGTCGGAGAGCGACAGATTAGGATAAGCAACCACCACCAGGAAAATGTGCTCTCGTATTTCGTGCCGTGCGTGACGTGAGCACGGAGCGGGGCGCGAGCGCCGATGGCTATCAGGACTGGCGTGGCGAATCCCAACCGCTCCCTGGGATGATTTTCTCTTCTAATCCAACCCCCTTTCTCCCCCTTCGGGAGGGGTTACCACTCCCCCTGGGTCTTGACGGAGATGGTCCAAGATGGCTCAAATGATTTACAGCATGCCTCCCAGAAAGTCCTTAACCGCCCTGAGACGGCTCCAAGTGACCAAGGAGCCTCCCATATATTCCCCCGAGAGGACCAAAATGGCAACGTAACTACTATTACTTTCAATTACGCGTGCCTTCCCACCTCTTTTGTTCAGATGGGCATTTGAAGCCTCAAGATAGTTCCAGGATCGCACAGCCCGAAAAAGCCCAAGAGGGGCCCAGAAGGGCTACAAAAAGGCCCCAGCGCCGCAAGAGGCTCCCAACAGGGCCCCAAGAAGAACACACCCAATGCACTCAGAGGGTGCCTGCCAAGAGACTCTCAAGAGGGATTCGATGCATCCAAAACGACTCCAAGGGGGCCCCCAAACGGCTCACATTATACTGCGACGTACCCAACCCTAGTCTACACATGTGGCGACGATTCACATGAACGATCAATACAAACCAACATGTCCAAGGACCCGCAGAAGCCCACGAAAGTGGCGCCAATTGCAGACTTCGCAGAACCACCAAGGAGCCGCGGGTTGACGGCTGGGTCTGTTCACAACTCCCCTCCATTAGGCCTCGCAGAAGCCCACGAAAATGGCGACAATGGCGCACTTCGCAGCCCCCCAGGGAACCGCGAGGTCTCGGCTGGGTGCGTTTACTACCCCACTCCGCTGGACCTCCCAGGAGCATACGACGTTGGCGACAATTGCGCACTTCGCACCCCCCCAATGACCCGCGAGGTCTCGACTGGGTGTGCTTACAACTCCACTCCGCTGGGTCACCAGGAGCCCGCCAAAGTGGCGACAATTGCGCACAGGGGCAGCCCCCCAATGAAACGCGAAGTCTCGGCTGGGTTTATTTACAGCCCTACTCCGCTGGACCTCCCAGGAGCCCACTGCTGGGGAGACCATTGCGCACTTCGCAGCACCCCACCCAGTAACCCGCGAGGTCTTGGCTGGGTGTGTTGACTACTCCACCCCGCTGGACCTCCCAAGAGCCCACGAACGTCGTAACAGTTGCGCACTTCACAATTTCCTAGGGAGCAGCAAGGTCTCGACTGGGTCTGTTTACAACTCCAACCCGCTGGACCTCCCGCGAGCCCACGCAACGAGCGACAATTGCGCCCTTCACAACCCCCACGTGACCCG